ACAAACTTACTTCATATATTTATCCAATCAAAGTACAAAATGAGGGAATTGAGCATCCTCCAACATTACTACAACATAATTAAAATGCAATAAAACATAAAGCAGATAGATCATCGCAGAAGATAGACAGCGGATCCAAAGCATGCCTCGGACGTGTCAAGAAGGTCTTCGGGACAAAGCCGGAGAGTCTCAGGTTGGCCATTTTCCAATGTGACTTTGAAGATCCCGGCAAGCTCGGGAATTCGACCATTCTCCAAGAGAGAGAAGAAGATACAACCAGTCTCAAAAGATGGAAGAAGGTAAATTACAAAATTTGAAAATCCAAAAACTTTGGACTTCTAAAAAAAGAGAAGCTAATAAGCTAAAAAAAAAGTGAGATTTTTGCAAATCTGATTTTTGACACTATATAGACTGGACCATGATTAGTGAGTGCAACACTCCAATTGGGCCTCAGCAAGTAAGGCCTTGGAAGGCACATAATCCTTTCACAATGATCTAATTTCACCCTCACACTAATATGGTAGATGGTGGAGGGAAATTGTGTTCGACGGTGGCCAGATAACTTTTTCGACAACAGAGCCGCTTTTTCGGCCAATTGTTGAAAACGACATTTTTCGGCGAGCAAGACCCACACATCATGAGGGCCAAGCCCACAATTGATTGATGCTAAGATGTGAGCAGAGGGTCGGTACATGAGAGGGATGGTGGAGGACCTGCGGTGGTTGCTCGGAGAAACGGGTCTCCGCCGGTAAGAGTAAGTGAGGACTGGCGCGAGGTTGATTGGTTGAGGCAAGAAATATGATATGGGATCTCGCCGATGAGCGAAGGCGCGAGCCAACCATCGAGTTTTCAGATCTGGTGTCGATCGGATCTGGAAAGCTTGTTAGGTTGAAGCGACGGGAATAGGTCTTGACAGCGGTGGGCGAAGGTGAAGGAGCCGTGGTTTTATCCGGTGGGTTTGAAGGATCAGGCGGTTCTGGTGGGAGTCGAAGGCTCAGATGCACCAGACCAGTCCTCACAAAAAGAAAGTGCATGTCTTCCGGTATCATCCGGTCAGAATCTGAAGCCAATCGCAACCAACTGCCATGGAGTTAGGATGAGCTAGAGCCGGAAGTTCTACGAAGAAATTTGGAAAGCTCCGAGAAGCATGAAAACGAGCTTGTCAGAAGATGCCCATATTTGTGACATTGTATAAACATCAAATTTTGTGAGTAAATGACTACTACCACAAAATGATGTTAATATTTGTTGCAAGAATTTAGGTAATACTTTGTGTTTTTAATTTTCTTTAGGTAAAATAATTTGATTCTGTATGACAAATTGTCAATTATATAGATTATAGTAAATTTGTTCACATAGTAGTAAATATGTATTGTACCCTAAG